AGGGCCGAAATTTAATGCCTCCAAGGTCTTAAAAAGGAAGTTCCAGTCGACCGTGTCAAAAGCTTTTTTAAAGTCCACAAAAATCGCCATGCCGGGAATGTTTTCTAGCTCAGTTATCTTCATGATATCGTTAATGAGTCTAATGTTCTGTCCTATATAGCGGCCCTTGACATAGCCAGTTTGGTCGTCGTTTATTAATTTGGGGAGGACTTTAGCGATTCTATGGGCTATAGATTTGGTTGCTATTTTATAGTCGACGTTAAGTAACGTTAACGGTCTCCAATGTTCCAAATACCTGTTCTTGCGTTTTTTCGGTATGACCTTTATTATACCTTGTCTTTGTGTTATGTTGAGTTGTTCTACTTTATGAGCATAGTTAAAGCTTTGGACCATCTCATCACCAAGTAGATGCCAGAAGTGCAAATAGAACTCAACTGAGAGACCGTCGCTGCCCGGACATTTGTTTTTAGCACATTGTTTAAGAACGGTGAAACACTCGGTTTTCGACAAAGGCTGTTCAAGTTCATTTAGCTCGTTTTCGTCGAGTTTGACGAGGTTAGGGTCTCCCAGGAAAGCATCGCGTGCAATAATATCACAGGGAGCGCTCGTATATAAATTTTCATAAAATGCTTTCTGCATTTCCAAAATCTCTTTTTCGCAAGAAGTTTCCGAGCCAGTACTTGTTTTAAGCCTAGTTATATGAGTTTTTGCAAACCTCCTTTTCTCAAGATTTAAGAAGTATTTAGTATTCTTTTCTCCTTTTTCGTGCCAGCGTATCCTACTTCTAATCATTGCACCCTCGGTTTTATATTCAGCAATCTGATTGAGTTGAGCTCTTAATTGGTAGAGTTTAGTGATATTTTCTTTCGATCTGTTGGATTGCAGCAAGGCCATTAGGTGATCAATTTCTTTCTGAAGGTCTCGTTCCTTATTTCTTTTTATTCTGTTTTTCCTTTTTGAGTATTGTACACAGAAACCTCTAATCTCCATCTTGAGCATGTCCCAGTACAGGCCTTCATTAGTAAGGTAACAGTGTTTGCTTTTGTATTCGGGTATTTTGCTTACGAGCTCGTCAATGAAATTTGCATCTTTCAGCAAAGCGTTATTAATTTTCCAAAACCCAGGTCCACGTTTAGCGTATTCTTTCGATTGAAGAGTGAAAGTGATAGCGCTATGATCAGATATTGTGGGGTTGGTGATGTTAGTATCAATGACAGACATCAACAATTCTTTCGACACAAGCCAATAATCTAAGCGGCATTGCACTTTCAAGGAATTGTTACGCCATGTAAATTGTGTTTTGTTGGTATGTTGATTTCTCCAAATGTCATGAAGTTTAAAACGCCGGGTTAAGCCTTCAATCTCGTCAATGACTTTTTGTTTTTTCTGAACAGTAGCACCACCCATTTTATCTGTAGGTGTTAATGGGCAATTCATGTCACCTCCCAAGATGATTTGTGCATCTGCAAATGGTAGGAGAATGCTATCAAGATTGCGAAAGAAAGCTATCTGGGCGGTAGAGTCATTTGGCGCGTAAATGTTGCTAAACAAGAAGGAAGATTCTAGCACGTTGGCTTTTAATAGCAAGTATCGTCCATTCTTATCAGCGAAGATGCTTTCCGTTTCGAAATCCAGACTCGGTTTAAATAATATCATCACACCTTTTGAATGTGTTGTTCCATGACTGTAATAAATTATATGCGTGTTGGTTATGTTTTTGATTCGCGTTCTTCAGAATGAAAGATTCAACCGATTTCTACGATTTTTTGCATCCTTAATAAATAATGGTGGAACTTTAAGAAAATATTATTTATTTCTTATAGGTTAAAAATCCCACGACAGATTTTTCCCTAACCTCAGCAAATAAGCCTCAGAGCTCTCTCGTTTTATGTCTGCAAGTTTGAAGGCAATCTTGACCGTAGAAATCGCTCCACAAAACGTTCGTCAAATTTAACGCTAAAATGATAGGCTAACACATTTGTGAACGTAAACGCAAAAATAGCGAAAGAGAGCTGACAAACTACCTCTTAACTGAAACGTTGTTCCTACCCAAAGCATAGATGGAAGAAAATGAGTAATCGGACAACTACGGCGAACACAGTTAGCCCTTTAATACAACCAACTTTCTGCTACACGTGCGTTGAAATTAAATATATTTCTAATTATCCACCTTACTCTGCATTTGTCCGTACATTTTCGACAAAAATATTAAGATAACAAAACACAGCATCTGCAGAAACCGCTTGGCAGTTTTTAGCTTCAAAGGTTCTCGTTCTGAGGCAAAATAAGCCCGATAGTTCGAGAACACCTCGCCATCCAATTTTCAACTGCAATAAAACCACTCTCGCACGATAATATATTCAAGGTCTCTGACTTTCCCATCACATGCTCACGAGCAGTAAAAGTTCCATCATTATTTATTAAGGATGCAAAAAATCGTAGAAATCGGTTGAATCTTTCATTCTGAAAAACGCGAATCAAAAACATAACCAACACGCATAAAAATAGGAACGGGCCACCTTAATTGACGAACCGTTCAACCTTGCAGGCGAGTGTAATAAACAAGGAAATTTACAATAGGTCTATATAAAGATACGGTGAATGGTAACGCCCTATACCATGCAAGCCTTAGGTTTTTTATGACACTCATAGCTGACTGCCGTGTTACTGGTGGGTTATAGACCTTTTCATGGTTTATGACGCCATCTTGGCTAGGGGGGCAAACACGAGTAAAATTACAGTGAATGTATGGGATTTTGGCCCACTTGGAACCACTATAACTCCGCTACATTAAGAGGCGGATTTCCAACATTTACCACTACTTTAAATAGTTTTATTGATATCATTCATTCAACAGAAGACGAGGCTATTAAAGAAGGCACGACGTCCGTAAATTGGAATTATAAATCTTCTCACGTGGCTTCTTATTTCACGGTAATTTGCATAATGTTGATTAGAAGGGTTTGTATGAAATCTTAAAAATTCCTTAACGGTGGTTATAACCTGAATCTCTTCTTCTTTAAGTTATACTTTGTTTATTTACAAAAGTTATCTGCCTTTGTCCTTAAAATCATTTCACCAGTTTATCTCCAGAACCATTCTGGAATAATTCATCAAATTCTTTAGGGAAATTTGCATGAAGGGCGCTAGTTGTTCAGGCTGACGGATTTGCTGTGTTGCTGTCTACTTTGAATAATTCCAACAGTGGAACGGTAACAATTTTCTTAGACCTCTTTTTACATCCAAGAGTTTATACGAGAATACAATTTGTTGTTCAGGTCACAAAGAACAAGTGCGGCCAACCAGGGAAGCTGTTTAATAAATGCTGTATCGCAGCAATCACATAGCATTGCTGATTCCGAAAGGTAAATGTCTCTAGCGGATTTGATTCCGAAAGAAAGTGATTTTAACCAACATTGCAGATGAGTGTAGTAGACAAATGTTAGATTAGTTCTGCATCAGGATGTAGTTTGCCTACGAACCGGTAGTTTCTTAGAAAAATTATGATAGCTTACTTACTGTCGCGCTTCTGGTTTATTCAAAGACCATCAGAAGGCGGTGATACAATGATTAAAAAATCAGCTGTAGCGCATTTAAACGCCGTACTTTTCATGAGCCGAACCTAATTCGAATTAAGGCCAACCCAGATTATTTAGACCGGCTGAATTGATTCAGACGCCGATCTTAACTCTAGCCGAACCAAATTCAGAAGAAGAACAATTCTCATTTCGTTATTAGAGACCTTTAGCATCAGGTTTTTCATGGGAAACCGCAAACTGGAGTTTACCGTTACGCGTTTAAAGTCTCAAGTTGCTAAGATTTCAAATTTTAGCAAGACGTTCATTTGTTGTTTAGTGCCGCCATATTTTTTTCTTTAACCCATTCGCTCCTGGAGATTTTGCCGAAAAACGCGTTCTGAAGCTAGTCGAGTGGTTTTCTGGTCACTGTCGTGCTATAAAGAGCTAAAACTTACCACAAACCGGTTTACAGGTCGTACACTTGGCGGCCTTCTGATCCAGATGCAAAATATCAGCTTGCGAAGTTCGGGCATGCGCAGAAAGCAAAATTTTTGGGTTTAAAAGTGACACAGCAGTCTTGACTTTTACTTTTCGCTTTCTCTCCTCCCTTCTTTTTTCGCTTTTCTTGCCTCATTTTTTTTTCTCTTGCTGGGCATTTAGTAGGCTTCATTTTGGTGGGAAGAGTTTTTAGGAAAGCTTTTAGGATCTTAGGATTAGGTGAAAGGAAAGGTAGGTGGGTAATGGAACAAGATTTTCATGGAGATTTTCAGGTCCTTGTCACGTGGTTGTTTGCTTCTTTCTCCGGTGTCCTTGACTGAATTGTGCTCATTCTGGTATGCTTTGAAAGATCTCTTCACTCTGCACAAGTTAGCGAAGAAAGTTGTCCTTGACCGTTAAAACTGATGACGTCACAAAGGGTAGAAAGGACCCGGATCCACACGGGCGGTTACGGGCGGTTCAGGGGCGAATGGGTTAACATGGCGCATTTTTATGTTGTTTTCACTTTCTCGGAAAGCCTTTGTTATGTGCTACTGTTTTCGTGAGCCAATAAAAACTTTATTTTTTGACAGTTGTCAAATGACTGTCAAATCGATCGCGCGTCTTGTTTCCGGTCCCCCAAACAGGAAGACGCCATATAATAAACATCTTATTAGCCTCGTTTTTTCGGTCCGTACTGTAAATTACGTATCCTCGTTTTTTTTTCCATCCATTTATGGCCCGCGCTCTTCGCGCTTGGGCCATAAATTGATGGAAAAAAACTCGGTCCGTTTTTTACAGTACGGACCGAAAACTCGTCTAATAAGAGGTATGTACATGACAAGCAACATTTTATTGTTGTTGTAAGAAGAATAACTTATTGTTGACTCGAGAAATAATGTTTATTTTGTTGCTTGGGCAACGTTTTTTCGTAACTCGCTGGCTTGAGGAGGAACGCTTGAACTTACTGGCTTCAGTGGTTATGGTTCGGTCTGACATTGCATTGCTAGGGACAGGAGTCATGAAAAATGTCGCTTCGTCATTTTCGCTGTCATCGTCAGATCCAGTAACGTAGCTGAACGTGCACGGCGACTGCGTGCCATATTGTTCCTGGTTGTCGTGGAGCAAGTAATTCGGCGTTCTCGGTTTTTCTTGCTCTAATACCTCTTCCATTTCTTCTCTCTGGCTCGAGCTCGGGACTGGCAGCGCTTCGGAGAGGCTTTTCACCAAGTGTTGGTCTTCCTTTCTCAACAGTTCCAGCTCCACGCAGACCTTTTTCCTCTCCGCAAGGGCTTCCTGGCATCCAAGAGTTCCTAAGTTGTTGTGGTGGTCCTTGAGCTTTTCTTCTAGGATTTCACGCAGGGCATCCATTGAGTCTCTCGTGTCAGGCGAAATACGTGATTCCAGGGTGACCATGTATTCTGTATTCCTCAACCATGGTGACTGGAATGCTTCCCTTGACCTCTTCTTCTTCTCTTTTCGATCCGCACCGGCTTTCATCTGTTCGTGAGTGGCCAGATCATTTCTTATCGGCGTGGGAAGGGGATCGTTTGGATCGTGGGGTAGTAAACGTACATTTTCTTCGGAGACGCCCTTCGATCTGAGACGCTGTTGAAATCTCTCGTGCCGTTGCATCTCCCGCCGCATCCTCTCTTCGTTTTGCTGTAAACGCTTTTCCAGTAAGAGACTGAGGTGACGGTTATCCAAAGACCCCGGTAAGGTTTGTGCGAGCGAGTTCTTTAACGCGTGTGTGGTGTCATCGTCATCATCGGCATCCACGATTTGGTCCCCGTTATCGTCTCCTGCAGTGGCCTCTTCGTCTCGGGGATTTGCGCGTAAACAGCTAAGAGATCGGTCAACTGCACATTTCTTAAAACCTCTTTCTCCGTCTCCAACAGTGCACCCTCTTCGTTTGGTGTGTTTCTCTCCGCGTCTTCGTCGTCTTCATCAGAACTTTCTTCTTCATCTGTATCTACCCTCGCTTTCGATGCAGCCCACACAACACATTGTATAGGGTGCTTGCGCAGCCACTGGGCAGCCTTCTTTTTTGGACTTGACAAGCTTTTGAAGAAGTAATACCTTAGCCTTCGGTCCATAGCCTGCTGATCTTCCTCCTTGAATTGAAGTTTTTGCTGTGCAGTCATGAACATGGGACATCGATTGAAAAATGACTTGGCTGTTTTGTACTTGACATCGCAGGCTGTGTGAGTATCTTCCAGTCGTCTACATCGAGGGTCGACGGAGTGGCCTCGTCAATGAATATCACCTCGGTGTCCTTGACAATCATTGCCTTGTTGAACACTTTTTGCTTGGTTACAGTTGCTACGTTGCTGTGGTGAATCAGGCTCAGTATTGGGTAAAACAGGCTTGTCTTTGCGCTGTCGGGCTCACCGACAAGGCATGGCACTCTCCCTTTGTGCTTCTTTTGGTTGAAATTCAGCAGCCTCACGAAATCTTCGCAAAACAAACCAATCTCGTTTTCTATCAGGCTGTTTTCAAAACGTCTTGGAAGTATTTAGGCTGCGGGACTTTGGAGGGATCATAACGTGAGAAAGCCCTGGGAGTCACAAGGCCCATTTTCTCTGCTGGAATTGTGTTCTTCAAGAACCGTCTTTCAGAGACAGACCAATATTTCCCTTCGTCCACCTCTATGAGGGTGTAGTCGACAACAATGGGACGAATTACTTCACAATCGGGGTCAGCCAGGATATCGATAACTTTTTTCACGTCCCTCAGCATTCTTGCCTTAAATGACTCCTTTGCAGCTAAACTGTTCACAAACGCCTTCACATCACACTTGTAGGAGTAGGTGTAAGTGGCACCTTCACACTTTTTATGAGCAGTGCCCCTGTAAAGGGCGTATTCCAGTCTCTTCATTGAAATCGAGATATCATTTATGAGGACTGTAAGTTTTTCACCTAGCCGTGGTTCCATGCTGTCACTTGTTCTTTGTTCTTGGGATTCTTGGCTGTTACTATCCAAGCCATAACGATCAATCACTAACTTCGCACCCATCATTTTATCTATTGCTTCAGAAACAATAGCCTTAAACGAGGATTGGATGATACGAACGCTGACTACGTTTTCCGTTCCACATTCCTCCACATCGATTGATTCAGAATCGCTCAAAAAACCCCTCCGCGACAGTCAGAAAACACTGCTGGTAGGAAGATGTTACTAGGTCCTACATAGACTTGTCGTTGTGATCCTTTAATACTTTGAATAATTCCTTCATCGCAAGGAGATTCTTTGCCTTGTCGACAGGGAATCTTATTTTGAAAAAAAGAAATAGAAAGTTTGCTTGACTGAAATAAAATAAACAAAACAAAGTTAAGGCTATCCAACGCTTTATTTTGCTATAAGAAAATACTTTGACATGATGACGAGCCAAGCATGAGAAAATGATTTTATTCAGAATCTTGTAAAAAATTTACCTTGATATATACTGCAAAGACTAACCGTAAAAAGACAGTATGTTAAGTATTATGCAGACTGTTAGTAATAGTTTAGACTAGGGTGGGGCTAGACATATTTTGCATCCAGCAGGGATACAATTATACTTAAATAAAACCCTACAAATAAACAATCCTAGAAGTATTCCCTGTAAAACTCTTATAATCACCAACTCGTGACGAAAACAGAAACAGTGAAAAAGCTTATTAAATGTTGTTTTACCTTAAATGTTTGTACAACAAAACTCTAGGACAAATGCTATAAAAACACTGATTTTGACATAAAATAAAGTTGTTGTTCTCGTTTTTGAAAGATCCGCACGTTTGTAAAAACAATTAATTTATGATGCTGGGTGGCTAGAAATCCAGCTTTGGCTTGAAGAACCTGACACTTGACTTGTGAAATGCTTGCTATCGCCTTCCTCTCCGTTATTCTCTAGGTTGTTTTGATTTTTCTTCGGCGCTTTCTTTGGCCCTTGTGTGCCGATAGCACTAGAGAAAGAGGCCACACTTTGTACTCCTGCGAAAAATGATATCGAAATCAGGTTTGCTTATTCAACGGATCTATTCGTAATAAGGATTCATAATTGACATGTCAATTCATTTTGAATACGAAACTTGCAACGCTTTGTCGCAAGCCTCTCGCGTCCTGCACACCTCGTTCCATCCTCTCTGTAGGCCTTCATCGATATTGCATGTACACTTACAACTCACTACACTACATTTGTCCACAACTATTTGACTTAAATACCACAAAGCAGCTCCTTTAATATTCTCACTGTTCAGTTGGCGAGGAGGAAAATTTGCTCTTCACTCGCTCATCGTGAAGCGAAGCATGTCACTTCACTGTGAATAATTATATCAATGAAATGTTCCCAGTAGACAAATTCGAACACCCTTATCCATCGCCCAACCTTAGTCACACAGAGTTATTACGTAATCCAAAATGTGATAATTGACAACTATTACTAACGACTATTTGATCTAAATTAGCGACTTGATCCCGTTTCCGTGAAATCCGTGAAATCTGCAAAATCCTATGACAGAAAAACCTTCTTTGTGATAAATTCCAGCTACTGAAATCCAAATGAACTGCCAGAATTACCCTCAAAAAGAAATAAAAACAATAATATTAATAATAATAATAATTATTATTATTATTATTATTAAAATACTAAAATAATAACAATAATTATTATTATTATTATTAGTTTTATCATGATTGTTTTTTCCCTGAAATCCGTTGTATCCAGCATAAAAGTAGAGTTTCTTCTTTGATACCTTCATTAAAATTCTTATTTCCGTTAAGCGCAAGAAATCTGTATTGTCCACTCTTATGGAATACAACTCTGGTGTCCGTCAATGTCAATTATAACTTTATTCCGGAGGAAGGATTTTCCGGATTTAGCGAATTTAGTTGATTTTTTTCTCTATTTTACTCAATGTGTTTTAGAAACAGGAGAGTGATGTATGTGTTTGTTTTGATTTAACGCTCAAAATTCTCAATGAACGATACAAGCAGTATCATGAAGTAAGATCGCCCTGGGTAAACCCTTGTTCAAGTTGCTGATATAAATTTAAGGCTAACATCTCTTCATACAGTACAGGAACAAGCGTTCCTTTCAATGGCCGTTCCTCTCACGAGGAACGCTTTCGCGGAAAAAACGTACAGATTTATTTGCAGTTTTTGGCAAAAGTCTGAGAATGTGCTTTTTAGCTTTTTCCTGCATAAAACTTCTAAGAGATATAGTTTTAGGAAGATCTTCGCCGTACTTGATATTATTTTAAGGCTTCAAAAAAAGGGAACTGAATTTTTGGGAAACGATCATTATCATCATCTGATCATAATCATGAGCGGCAGCAGCAGAGGAAGAATCACCATCATCAGTACCATCTTCATTATCGTCACATCAACATCTTCACCGTTATCACTATCATCATCATCATAATCATTACAAAACCATTTTCATCATCATCATCATCATCATCATCTTCATCATCGTCGTCGTCGTCATCGTTATTACAACCGTTTGGAACAAAACCATGTTGAAAAAGAGGTGGAGTATATGCCAGATTCGGTGGGACATCATTGTTATTTTATTTGACAACCTACAAAAGTGCTCCAGCTTACAAAAGGGCTAAATTTTAAGATTAATAATATTAATAAAATTTCAATTGATTGCAATGATTGCGGCACAGTATATGTATTTTGATTACTAAATTACATTTACAAGTTGTTGAACTTTCTAAAAACGCGAACATTAATTCACAGTAAGCAAAATCGCGAATCGCAAAAAAAAAGATATTCCCGCAAAATACTAGCTATCGAAACAATCGCCCATCCCCAAACAAAAAGGGAAGAAGGACACCTGATCTCAGGTTACCATTCACCAGAAATGAGTGCCAGTCAGCGTAGTGGAAAGGCTGGTATTCAGTGTTTGCACGAATACCCAATTTTTCACTTTTTATTTCAACTGAATGACAAGAGAGCGTTCTGAGCAGGGCTACACATGATACCAGTGATTTCCATAATCATACTTTCCCTGAACAGCCGTCCAGAAAAAAAATCTGGCCCGGAAATTTTGGAAATTAGGTAGAGTTGCTTATCTGCCCATGAAAACTGACGTTGATGGAGACAATTTAAAAAGTTTAAATGCGCCTGGGTTTCGAGGGGTTGCCCAGGGTATGTTGAAGTATCGAGACCCTCATTCGAGTTGACCGGCACCAGTCTCGACTTTAGAAATAGAAAGAGTGCATTTTTATGTTATTATCAAACTGCCACCAATTTCTTTCACCCTGCACAGAACGCAAGAACTTTTATATGGCCATATTACTGAGTTTTGAAGTCGCGTTGACGTAAGTGCCTGCGTGGATAAGAATAAATACTGAGACTAATTAGACGAGGCGAGTGTGACTCACGCAGTCGATTCCTTATTTTACAGTTATAGTCCAGAATGAAAGCAACGCTTTGAAAAACACACTATTTTATCTTACCTGTATCGTTTAAGCAACACAATGACAACAAATCACTATATAAATGAGCCAAAATTGTCATTTATCTATCTCGAATCAATCGCGTGACGCCTTGTTGTTTGTGACCAAAATTTTAGGTCAGATTGCAATTTTATGGAAATTCAGACGGCGCTCCCTCGAAAGCTTTACAAGATCACAGTAAAACAAAACTGTAACTTTTAAAGACTGTATTTTAGGGATTTATGGTAGCAATCTCAACGATCTTCAGGCACTACCACATGCCTTTCCATCGCGATGATTTAACCCTACTTTTGCATGTCCTTGAAGGGCTGTAAATGTTTTCTTGAAATTTCGAGTTTATTTCTTACAGAAATAACCCAAGACGAAAACTATCCACGTGTTTTAAAACAAGGCCCCTACTGAATAGTTATGGTAAAAGGAGACTGGCTGCTATGGTTCAGATCAAACACGACTATTTTGAACATAGTGAAATTTTGAGCTGGCGCGTAGGCAAATACGGCAAAATTATTTTTAACGGTTTATTTCAAAAGAAAAGCGTATTTCAAAACAATACTTCCACTTTACTGAAGGTAGTACATTAGCCTTTCCCTGGACGAAAAATAAGACGAATCGATTTTTTTGACTATGGGCACGAGTTTTCGATTTTTGTTTGATTTTTACTGACATTCACACTTAATGTCCCGGATCTGCTTCCCCTGAAACGTTTTGTTCCATAAGAATCATTTCATCATTTTCGTTTCCTGTTTTTATCTCACGTATTTTATGGAACATTAGCCTGTTTCATGCTCCGAGATAGTCGGGTCCACTGAACTGAGAAAGCGGGAACATGAAAATAAAACGGGAGGAAACTGGGAGAGGAGGGGCTATCCCTTCCTTTTTAATTTTCCTGCTCCGCGAACTTTTCGCGTGCCTTTCAAATACTTGTCTTCCCCACTATCTGAGACCCTGGAACAGGCTAATGGTATATGTGTGAAAATCTTTATTATGAATCGGTATAGTATATTTCAAAGAGCTACTCAACGAGCAAGATAACTATTGACTGACAACATACAGATCAAGGGCATCCGCAGTGTCAACTATTACTATTAATACTCTAGAGAACTGTTTCTTTTAAATTTCGTCTTATTCTCGTCCTTATGTATGCATAAGTTTAAAAAGTTTAAGTTAAAACTTATTAAACTTCTACTTATGAAAAGACAAAGGGTCAAGTTTCCCGATGACCTCTATTAGCAAAACAAAACACACAAGCTAAAGAGGTCTATTAACGGGCCCGAAAAGCTGTTGTCGTTTACATTAAAGCTCGAAGTTTCAGTAGGTTTACAGATAATATGATAAAACTGTCAGTATATAATTTGAATATTTGATTTCGGGCCCGCAAAGTTACCGGGACTTTCGAGAAACGGGCCCCGGCATAGCCCCTTGGCGTTCTCGGCTTGGTCAATCCTGAACCGGGTTGTTTCAACCTCGTCCCCAGGGCGCTTTTCCCTTGGTTTGGAGGTGGGGCGGGAAAAGGCCCTGTCATCGACCGGTCAATCCGTCATTTTGATTGGTTGATTGAGGTAATTCATGTAAGAAAATGGCAAAATGAAAATAATTTATGCATTACACCGAGATCGAAATGGCAGAGAGTATGTCCACTAAAACGAAGATTTTGCAAGAAATCCAGTGGTGGTTCTCATGAGA